TCTTTGAATTCTGTAAACGTTCAGGCTATGACCACATGCTGAGGACACTGGGTGGAAATCTCTACGAGTTCATAGAGAACCTGGACGCATTGCACAGCTACCTGTCCCTTTCTTACCAGGCAAGTTTGAGTAGTAATTACTGAGCAGGTACGGGTGGACTCTGGCAGAATTTGCAACAGAAGGAACAGCATCTCATAGGTGTGAACGAATAATGGAAAAAGGTGCTATAACAGGCTCTCCTATGTTATGAAATGTATTACTCCAAAATTTTAGGACCATTTTTTATAATTGTTTTGTCTGGGTATTCCTCAACATTAGATATTATTTAGTACACTGGCTCTAATGCACAGTAGATTTTCTTTCACAGGTGAGCATATTTAATTTTCTATTTTTCAGCTTGTTCATATTATTCAGCTTATTTTATTAACACATGGGATGCTTTTGTATAAGTGTAATTCACCAGTATTCTTTATCAGAAAAAGATACTAAGGTTTTGTTTTTGTTTGTTTTTCCTCAGGAGATGAATGCACCATCTTTTAGAGTAGAAAAGAACGAAGACGGGTCAATGCACTTACATTACTATTCAGACAGAAGAGGTCTGTGCCATATTGTGCCAGGTAATCAGATAGAACACAGAGTACAGATCAGCCAGTAATGCAGCATCTATACAGAGTAATCATATATTTGCAGTTATACTTTGCTCAGATTTCAGAATCTTTTTTTCAGATGAGGACTGGCCATGGAATTGAAGCCTGGTAGAGTTTAGTCACCAGACATCTGACCTGGTATTTCCCTACTGCCTGATTGCTCCTAGCTTGCAGTAGCTTCATCAAGATATACGATAAGACAACCCAGGCCATAAGTGTCCTTTCCTGCTATAGAATTCCTATAGAACTCCTATAGAATTCCCTTCCTGGAAGAAAAATTATGGTTCATGTTGTGTATTGTGTCTAACTGTTGATTAGTTCTCAGTGACTTATGCTTCTTTAATTACAGTGAAGTAGAAATGATAGTTGATTTGAAGACCTCCATCCATCCTGTAATAATACTCCTGCAGTACATGCGATCTGTAAAACTACTATTGAACCCTGTTCAAAACTGAATCTTTTTTCAGCATTTATAGGAATCTCCACAATTGTACTCACACAAGGGTTAAAACAGCTGTATGTCTGTAAGAGATTACCATATTCCCTTATTTAATAGCTGCTGCTGAATTCAAAAGTTTATCAAAACTCCCCCCATTGTCAAACTCATTTCATATTCCTAGTGGAGCACAGAACTATTTGGAATTTCAGACAGAGCCTTTCATTTCATTGTCCAGTATTTTGCCTAATAGCTAAACAGAAATGAGAGGACTGATTCTGCATCTTCATGACAGATATTTCCTTCCTTTCAAGAGAAAATATTCTGCAGTGACTGAAATAGGTTATAGCAGAATCTCTTTAGACCCTGTACATTTTCTGGGTTAATGGGAATTCATATTATTGCTATGTATGCCGATTTGGACACATGCTTCAGATATCCTGCTGAGTGTTTTCTAGTGAAAATAAGCATTTGTCATCAGACAAGACAAAAGAAACTAACTTTAAAGCTTATCTCCTATGCATATATTCTTATCATGGCAACAGTAGTAGGAATGACATAGGTAACAGCAGGTTGGTTTCTCCTTCCAGAGGCCTTCAGAAAAGTGATTTCTGAAACAGTGAATTCCACTGTGGGCTCTCTAAGAGGGAAAATGGAAAGGGTTTGTTCTTGGCAATATTTTGTCTTTTGTTTGCCCTTCAGGAATCATTGGTGCAGCAGCCCTGGATTTTTTTAACATTGAGATTTCAATGGAAATAGTCAATCAAACAGAGGAAGAAGAAAGAACTGGTAAAAAAGAACATATTGTTTTTCTTGTCACTCAAAACCCTGTATTTTCATACAAGGAAAGAAAGAAATTTTCTTCCTTACCTCAGTATCTTGCTAACTCTGAAAAACAAATTGAGAACCAACTGAATAAAGAGGTATTTTAATATTCATTATCATGATATTATTAACATATGATTAAAATAAAGCCACCCTTGAACTTCCCTTTGGATTTACTTCAACAGGACCTTGAAAAAGCCAAGAATACAATCACAGACAGAGGAGGCTCTGTTTGCCCTGTCAAGAAAAGTCACTGGAAAACAATAAGAGGAATAATCACATTAGGAAAAGGTGAGAGATCATTCAGAGGGAGTTTGTCATAATTTCTGAAACTTTCCAGTAAGAAAGTCAGTAAGCCTCCCTATCTCCACCCACCCACCCATTTTGAAGTTACCATTCATATTTCCTTTGTGTCTTTTCAAAATGTTTCTGGTTAAGTTTCCTTTGTTTAGACATTGGTAATCAAAGAAAAATTGCAGATAATAGGCATGCTTAGTAACAACAGATACTTAAATGGAATATGACCTGTCACTTTTGTCTCTTAAACAGGGTTTTTTTCTGAAAGGTGTTCTTCTATAAAATGTTATTGTGTGGTACATTTGATAGTTCCTTCTCATGTCACTTGGTTTAAGATGATAAATTTAAAAGAGCGTTTTTTAACTTAGTAGCTGCTACTCCTTTCCAAAGATACCAACTATAGTACAGCCTGAAAGCCAAATTACACCCTCTGCTACCCAAAAATCTACTGCTAATCTAGTAACCTCTGTTTATACCTTTATATATTATATGTTTATAAAACAGAAGGTGGTGTTACCAGGATTTTTGCTGTTAGGATCTTTTGATTCTTCAGGAGGAATGAGAATCCAGCTCAGTACCTCCAAGCTTTGAAGATTCTGGAAGGAGTGAAAAATTGAACCTGATATCATCCAGTATAATGCCAAATGCATTACAAGAGCAGATATATTGAGTAAGAAGTTAATATATATTCAAAAGAGTAGTACTATTACTTAAAAAAAAAAGCTTTAAAAATAAATGTTAGTAGTTACCAAGAGCCAGACTTTGAGAGATGACTAACCTCCACTGACTTCCCTTGAAGCAGTAAGAAACCTTAAAGTTGGGTCCCAACTTTGTAATCTTTATCGTCAGTCTCCTGAGCAACTTCAGCATTTCTTACCAAGCAGAATTTACTACAATAACTATCACAAGCCGCCTTCTGGTGGAAAGAGATCACTAATAATCTCTTTGATTGTTGTGGGTTACTGGCGAATACAAGTTTATGCTATCAAGATCAAAGCCTCTGGGTGCTTCAGTCAGATGAGTATTTTTTGACTATTTTAGCCATTTTACAAAAGTATCTGTTCTCCAGCAAGCACGACCTGCCCTGTAGATTTGTGACCATTTTGAAAAAAACCTCAGGTTAAGTAAAATAGAAACCAAACAGTAATTTGGTCTTTGTGCTACAGACTGGAGTTCTTTGTATAGGAGTCTGAAACACAGATCGTGCTGGGTTTTTTCTCCATAAGTGTTCCTTGGTAGCTGTCAAAGTTTATTAAATCCACTTCTGTTGTACATTTTTGTGGGATATAGCTGTGTTATATTGCTATGACCTCTGCAAATTCATAGAGCAGCAACATCTACAGTTGTTCATCTATTTTGAGTGCTTCCACATAATTTCATGCATCTGTGCTTTTTGTGTGGTTAAGTTTTAAACTCTCAGCCAACTCAGATTAGTTGCTCATCAGCTGTGCATTAAACTGTGGAACATTTAGCACAGATCTATGCACATTTCTGGACTCACATGCTTTGTCTTCACTCATTATGGTATAGGGTCCTGTCTTAATGAGTTCTTAAACGTAACGCTGGCTGGTTTTATGAGGTGCAACCCGATTAAAAACTACACATTTATGTTGCCGCAGGTAAGCTCCTGAGAGGATTTGATCCTGTTTATCCCAAGAGCCTCTGGATTGACACAAAAACATTCTGCAATGGACTTCCTTTTCATATGGTTTTTGACAAAGAGGTAGGACAAGCATGTGATAAGGACCTTTAGTTTGCATAAACCATATAGTAATTTTCTTCTGTTTGACTGTCCTACAGTTCACTGCTGCATGTGCTCTGCATACAGCACACACTCATTCCGAGCATTTACAGAAGTGCTCTGTACAGAGACGTGCAATAGAAGTCACTCATGACAACGGGATCTGGATCATTTCAGACAGGAATCTCCTTTGAATTTATTGAGATTACCATGTCCGAAACAGCTGCAGACATGCCAAGAAGGTTTATTGCAGCAGTCTATCCATTACCAAACACTCCATAGAATTTTCTGAGGTTTCTGGCCACCTTCCTGTCTTTGGATGTGCCAGAGACAGGACCTGTCCTTTAAACTGGCTTTGTACTTACAGTGTCACCCTCTCCTCCCAGTTACTAATCTATCCAAAGGCTTTTGTAAGGCTTTGCTGGCAACTGAGGCTCTACAGTGCTTCCTGGGTCTACTTCTACATGCTTCTGCTGGGAAAACCCAGCTACCTACTAAATCAGGCAGCACACAACTCCATCTAATAGGAGCTGGACCCAGAAATCTCTCTATCTTTTGGGGAAGGACGGATTCTCCTCTCCTGTGTTTCCAACTAGCCTGGGTTCCCACCAAGCTACAGTTCCTCTTGCTCCCAATTCCATACAGAGAATATTAGCTTAAGGCAGGAGCAAAGAAAGGAGAAGCTGAGAATAGGACAGCAGAAGAAAGCTGAATACAGACACTCAGGGAACATGTTTTGGCATCATGCTGGTAGAGATTCCAGAGCATATAGTCTCTTCGTGCCGCTGTCCGCATTAGGCAAAGTTCAGCGTTTTAAACCTTTCAAGACATCCAGTCTACATAATTTGATAAAATTACTAGTGTGGAAAAAGGGCAAGTCCTGCACCCATTATTGGTGGCTAGGTCAGAGCTTCAGTACCTCTGATGACAATCAGTGAAGGCAGGGTAGACACTTCTGCGGGAGTTAAGAGCTGATGTATGGTCAGCAGGCTAAAAGAGAGTGACTAAACCTTTACACAGCAATGATTAAGAGAAGGTAACCCATGGAATCCATTAGAAAATTAGTATTTGCCAAGACATTTTATGCCACCGTTATTTTCTTTTTGGAATGCAGGACATGCTCTGGTATTTCTGATTTCTCTTGCAGCTACCCCTAAGGTTATTTGTTAGGCCTACATAAATGCACGCAAGATACTTTTGTTTTTAACAATTGATAGGGAAGAGTGTTTGGATAATAACATTCCTTTCTGGAGGCTTTGTCTTCCTATGAAGGACGCTCATTCAGAGCTTTGTGGTAATACACTAATAAGATGGCATTTATTATGAAGAAACTTTGCTCAGACATAAGCCATGTAGTATAGCAAGGCTAAGTGTGGGTATATGGATAAACAGTGATCAGCTATAGCTTGGCCTGAACCCAAACAGGATATAAATTATAACACATTTTCCATATTTTCTTTTTAAGCTCAGAGTGAAGCAAGCTGGGGTGAGCATTCAAAAGATTGTACCTGGCCTTCAGACCATGGGCATCTGCTTGGACCACTATTTCAGTATCGTTCACCCAGAAGTACCCTTCACCATCTCTAGCATTCAGAAATTCATCAACAGCCAATTTGTATTCCAGACTAGAAGAGAGATGATGCCAGAGTCATGGAAACAACGGCCAATGCTAGAGCTGAGAGGTACTTCACTGTTTTCAATAGCATAAGTGTTCATATTAAATCAGGCATTACGCTGGAGTTGAACTAATGCCTTTCTGTGGAGTCCTGGCTTCACGTAAGTCCTTTAAATGGCCTTGTCTTTGTGCAGTGAGAAGAGGATTAGATGATTAGAGAAACAGTACTTTAAGGTGCTTGTAGACAAATTCTGCTACACCAGATTTTGAAGGCTTTCAGTCAGAAATCACAACTGCGCTCCCATTTGAAAGGCTTGGAAAGATGATGTTTTTCTAATGCTGTAAAACCCACATCTTTGCAGGTTTCCTGAGTAACAGGGGCATGGCCAAGGGAGGATCAGATTGCTTTCTGAACTACCTCTAGTCTCAGTTATTCACAGAGTCACAGAATTGACTCAACTCCAGTTGAGGGACCTCTGGAGATTGTCTAGTCCATCCCCCCTCAGAGCAGAGTCAACTAGAACATGTTACACAGAACTATGTCTAGCTGGGTTTTGAATATGTTCAAGAATGGAGACTCTGTAACCTCCCTGGGCTACCCATTCCAGTGTTGAACCACCTTTACAGTAAAAAGGGCTTTTCTTATGTTTAAATGGAATTCCTGCATTTCAATTAGTGCCCATTGTCTCTAGTTCTTCAATTGGATACCACTGAGAAAAGTATTTTTTAAT